GTAGTGGGCTGGCTACCCAATAAGTTAGTTTACCAGGAGTGTGTGGCGAAGTAATAAAAATAATTAAGCTAGGTTGGGTATACAAACATAAAGAAGCCAGATGGAACAGACTGACTAACAGTTGTTCTCTTTAAAATAGTTCGTCGTTGGCCCAGGTCAGCGAATAAACAATAATCCAATTATGTTGGTCCAGAGGTCTTCTTCTGAACAGTTCCCACATATAATAGATTCCGAAGATGTCTGAAATGTTTTGGTACCAGAGTTAGTACATGAGACTCGCGAATGACCGCTGCAAGCGCGAGTGAAATCAGAAGAGAGAGTCGAAGCACGTGACCACGCTTGTATTCTGTGAAATTGTACAAGTGCGCGTTTTTGTAGTTTTTCGTATTCAAACAAAAAACGATTACGCAATTGATGAAATACGTAGTGTTATAATGGTAGTAAAATAAAGGTACAAAACGCCACAACGTCAACGAACAGGGAAACAATATTTAATGATATCTGTGGTGATGCCAGTCTGAAGTACTGAAGTATATCCGGTCTCGTCTATTCTGTCTCCGTTGGTTTGGGGAGGTTATTACCTACATCGGTTCCAATTTTCTGTCACTCGCTCCTTCACTGTTCAGTTTGGTGGCATGGCTGTGTGTCCTTCTGGGGCGTACAACGTTGAATGATCACAAATTGCTGGTCTCACTGAGAGATTTCATGGTGCACTATTATGCACTTTTTTGAGTGAAATTCTCGTCATCACACCAGTGCAACATGGGAAGTCTTCCCATGCGAGACCGATTGAAAACAGTCGCTCTGGTGTAGAACGTCGCAGTTATTGCCATTTAGTCACCCTTCATAAATTAGCATGCATTAGATTAACTTCAAGACAAACGAGGTGGAGATGGTGTTGCAGACGAGGATTAGTTCGTTTCGTTCCTTGTTACTGTGATAGCCAGTAGGTGTAGTCGGGGGACAAGTCAAAACGGGCACTACATAATTTGTCCCTTGATATATCCGAATCACTCAGCCTTTTTAAAATGGTTGGCTGTTGCAGCACTACCTTGAACAGGGCAGTAAACATATTGGGCATATGCGTGCTTTGCATTCTCGGCCTATCCTAACCTTTTTTAAATTGGTACTTGCATGGATAAGTGGATATGTTTCAGCGTTCGTAGGTGCTGTGATTGGATGTGCAATGAATGAAACGATCATTTGTGCTCTCTAATTTAGGGTGGAAGATCTTCAGCGTTCAACCTTTTGGTTGAAAAAATGAAGAAAGTAAGGTTAGTAGATTCGGTTTACATTTTACGCCAAGCAAAGGTTACGTGGTGGATTTACAGGCCAAAGGCGAGGACAGCAAGTGAAACAGACCATTTTGCCCTGAGGCATCTTGAATAGGGTTAAATCTCTGAGTAGCAAGAGCCATAATGCATAGTAAAGAGAAAAGCCTTAGGTTGGTCGCTGTGGAAGAAGAGCGACGATCTGGTGTCCGGGGACTACATCAAAAAAAGACATTATCAGTGGAACTGGCCCAATGTCCTTGACAAACCTCACGCAACACTAAACCAGACAAACTTTAAATGGACTATCTTACTTAAAGGTGCTAGCATGATCGCAAATACGACCAATTAAATACCATATCCTGTAGGGTTTCTAGGCGCACGCAAGAGACATCGTGTGCATCGCAACCAAGAGGGTTCGAAGGTGGCACACGAACTGACTGCCAACTCTTAGCTTACTTTGCGGCTGACATATTGACCGGAGCTATTACAAGTGAGTGCCTAATTTTGCTCAGATTACCAGTAATTATTGTTGCAATTTTGGTTACATAAAAGTATGTCATGACGTTTAATGTCACCTGTGCAGGTTTGGCCTAATGAATGGACAACTTTTCAGGTCATCTGAATAACGAGAGGATGACGACAATTATACAGATCTATTACGCTAAACTGGTATTTGATGAGCACGGATGTGCGGGGTTTTTGAAAGTTGGCGGTGTAACGCATTTGAAACTCGAATGTATCTGCTTGCCCGTTTCTTATATGACCTTATACGTGCCCCTCCCTTTCTCTCTTCCCCCATTGCAGGTACCACGGACGAATCACCACGGGCCCTGGACAGGGAAGAGTACCCCGCTTGTACACCCCCTAACTGACCTTGACCCGACCCTGTACACACCCCCCGCTTCCGGTTTCGGTTTCGCTCAATACACGTGTCGTTACCACACTCCGGCCTTCTCCCTTGTTCCACCCGACCTGTGCGCATGTGTGCTGTGTATACTGTGTGGATTCATTAATACCAGTCCGTATATCTGCACATTTCAGAACTGACGTGTGCCGTCCTCTCGAACGTCGAATACCGCTGACTTCCTGACATCCCACGCTACATTGGTGACAGAGGTGGGATCAAGTCAATTTTACGTTCGATCTTCCTGCGAAGCATACCGGAACACGTGCGACGAAATTGCCAGAGAATCGGTTGGTATTTCAAAGCTGATTATGTCCCACATCCAACCACCTCTGGAAGAACCAGAGACGTTTCAACTGGGCGACGATTTCACGCTCTGGTCGGGTCGAATGAAGGCTTTCCTTACACGGATACATCCGCAATATCACGAGTATTTTATCCTGTCCCATCTGGATGACCCTGCCGCCCGTCGTGTACTCTATTCAGGCGTTTCGCTGTCTGCACCACCGGACATCCTCTGGAATGACTTGTCCTTCCTGTTCGATACACGACCGCCGAGTGATGTCCCTCACTCCTCACCCAACATAACCCCCCTTTCCAACACTTCGACGTTTCACTGTCATTCTCCGGTCCAAAATTTTTCTCCCACCACTTCCGCACTTGATGTTATGTGTCCAGACTTGGGTACGATAACTTCAACGAAACCTGTCGTGCAATCTGATCACAAACTTGGTTTCACACAGGCGGCTTATTCAACTCCCGATGATGAAGTCGATAATAACGAAAAGCCTCCAGGGGAGACGGAAGGGGACACAAGATCTCGAACTCTATCCGATGACTTGGAGCAAGTGCATGAAGAAGCCGCCAACGACACAACACAAGTTCCTTTTCTTTGTGGTATTGATGTGGACCAGCGGAACCCAGTACTTTACACTGAAGACGATGATAATAATCAAGCTGCAGACAGCAAGCCACAACAAACAAAAGTGGTGGTGGACGCGAACTCCAGTGCGCAGACGAGTATGGACACGATAAACCTGGACCCAGTGGTCAACAAAGCGGACGTTTCTCTAGTCATCTCACCAGCCGGGCACACAGAAGATGCTGTCTATCAAACAGATGCAGTTTCGGTCACCTCGCCGAATTCGACTCTAGTGAAAATCAAGACTTCCGTTGCTACTGCCAACACCTCTGCAGACCGGCACCCTGTGGTTGGACAAACCCACCTTAAGGTTGCCAACTCAGGAGGCAACATGAGTGACGTGCTACATTCCATTCTTCCACATGGCCCTGGACCACCCCGTTCAACTGTTACAAGCACTCCTTCTGAGCACTGAGGACAGTGCTCAGACTCGGGAGGGGGCAATGTAACGCATTTGAAACTCGAATGTATCTGCTTGCCCGTTTCTCATATGACCTTATACGTGCCCCTCCCTTTCTCTCTTCCCCCATTGCAGGTACCACGGACGAATCACCACGGGCCCTGGACAGGGAAGAGTACCCCGCTTGTACACCCCCTAACTGACCTTGACCCGACCCTGTACACACCCCCCGCTTCCGGTTTCGGTTTCGCTCAATACACGTGTCGTTACCACACTCCGGCCTTCTCCCTTGTTCCACCCGACCTGTGCGCATGTGTGCTGTGTATACTGTGTGGATTCATTAATACCAGTCCGTATATCTGCACATTTCAGAACTGACGTGTGCCGTCCTCTCGAACGTCGAATACCGCTGACTTCCTGACATCCCACGCTACATTGGTGACAGAGGTGGGATCAAGTCAATTTTACGTTCGATCTTCCTGCGAAGCATACCGGAACACGTGCGACGAAATTGCCAGAGAATCGGTTGGTATTTCAAAGCTGATCATGTCCCACATCCAACCACCTCTGGAAGAACCAGAGACGTTTCAACTGGGCGACGATTTCACGCTCTGGTCGGGTCGAATGAAGGCTTTCCTTACACGGATACATCCGCAATATCACGAGTATTTTATCCTGTCCCATCTGGATGACCCTGCCGCCCGTCGTGTACTCTATTCAGGCGTTTCGCTGTCTGCACCACCGGACATCCTCTGGAATGACTTGTCCTTCCTGTTCGATACACGACCGCCGAGTGATGTCCCTCACTCCTCACCCAACATAACCCCCCTTTCCAACACTTCGACGTTTCACTGTCATTCTCCGGTCCAAAATTTTTCTCCCACCACTTCCGCACTTGATGTTATGTGTCCAGACTTGGGTACGATAACTTCAACGAAACCTGTCGTGCAATCTGATCACAAACTTGGTTTCACACAGGCGGCTTATTCAACTCCCGATGATGAAGTCGATAATAACGAAAAGCCTCCAGGGGAGACGGAAGGGGACACAAGATCTCGAACTCTATCCGATGACTTGGAGCAAGTGCATGAAGAAGCCGCCAACGACACAACACAAGTTCCTTTTCTTTGTGGTATTGATGTGGACCAGCGGAACCCAGTACTTTACACTGAAGACGATGATAATAATCAAGCTGCAGACAGCAAGCCACAACAAACAAAAGTGGTGGTGGACGCGAACTCCAGTGCGCAGACGAGTATGGACACGATAAACCTGGACCCAGTGGTCAACAAAGCGGACGTTTCTCTAGTCATCTCACCAGCCGGGCACACAGAAGATGCTGTCTATCAAACAGATGCAGTTTCGGTCACCTCGCCGAATTCGACTCTAGTGAAAATCAAGACTTCCGTTGCTACTGCCAACACCTCTGCAGACCGGCACCCTGTGGTTGGACAAACCCACCTTAAGGTTGCCAACTCAGGAGGCAACATGAGTGACGTGCTACATTCCATTCTTCCACATGGCCCTGGACCACCCCGTTCAACTGTTACAAGCACTCCTTCTGAGCACTGAGGACAGTGCTCAGACTCGGGAGGGGGCAATGTAACGCATTTGAAACTCGAATGTATCTGCTTGCCCGTTTCTCATATGACCTTATACGTGCCCCTCCCTTTCTCTCTTCCCCCATTGCAGGTACCACGGACGAATCACCACGGGCCCTGGACAGGGAAGAGTACCCCACTTGTACACCCCCTAACTGACCTTGACCCGACCCTGTACACACCCCCCGCTTCCGGTTTCGGTTTCGCTCAATACACGTGTCGTTACCACACTCCGGCCTTCTCCCTTGTTCCACCCGACCTGTGCGCATGTGTGCTGTGTATACTGTGTGGATTCATTAATACCAGTCCGTATATCTGCACATTTCAGAACTGACGTGTGCCGTCCTCTCGAATGTCGAATACCGCTGACTTCCTGACATCCCACGCTACAGCGGCATTCATATTAGGACCATCCCCGGCCAGATGAAGCCTATCACGCTCTCTGTAGCAGTAGCAGCTTTGAAAATCTAGATGAAATGCACAAGTTTTATCTATCGCAGTGCAGAACAGTGTAATAGTTTCCTCATCTGTTCTCGCTTCAAACGGAAATTTTCCGGCAGAGCTGATTCTTTCTGGAACCCAGAAAATGCTTTTAGTGGAAGTGAAATATTATTATCTTTTTCTTCGGTGTCTTTCACTGCCAGAATGGGAGATATAACCGAGGGTTGGATTGCCACATTTTACCTCGCCATTATTAAGCTCACTTACATTTTATAGGTCACGTCACTTCGTTTGAACAACTTACTCATTCTCGCCTTTGTTTCAGTCTCCATGGGAATTCAGGAGCATCCTTTCAAAGTATAGGTGTTTGGTCTACCAGCTTATGTGTACCTCTATCATGGGTGTCAAAACACACCAAGTGTGCAGCCATCCAATATAGACGGGAAGCACTCTAGGTAGGGATGTGATGAGCATAAAACGACCTGTAACTGGTCTTTTAAGAATTATTACTACTACAGACCTTCTAGAAGTGGGTAGTAGCTCACGAAAAGGACCGTAGTTCCACCAAAACGGTCGCTTTACCAGGGTGACTATGCCCTAAACCAAACCGGAAAGCTGAATGTTTGTTATGGGCATGGTGTTCGATAGTATTTGTTCGCTGTCTTACACTACACTTCAAACAACTGTTTCAAAACGTCTCATCGTGCTGCCCAATCGTGATTTACCGTACAAGGTCATGCTGAAGCTAAACAACGCGCTAACACGGAGTGAGTGCGTCGTCAAGCACGAAAGCTTTACTAGCTTATCATGTGTAGAGTAATTCAAACTCTTGTTTAAACAAGGAGCACCAGTCAGGCATCAGTCAAATTGACATTCAATAGCTAATCATGTATAAAGATGAGAATTTGAGTGCATAAGAACTTGGAAGAGGAGGTCCAGAGAAGTAGAAGTCTGATGAAGACACTCCCATCAATTCAGATGAGAAGTTAGCTGGTTTGTCTAGATACATCCACCGTTGTCTGGCAACGTAAGTGCAGTGTGCGGTATAACATGCCTGTCAGGAGTCTTACCATGGTATGAGCTCAGTAGAGAATTTCAAGTGGACGCCACAACACGATGTCGCATACTACTTGCGTTTGTAAAATATCCTATAATTTGGGTCCGTAATTTAAAATCACTAGCTGTCTGGCGTAATTTTAAGTGAGAGATGAGTAGTGTGAACAACTCAGTTTGTTCATCCGAATCCTAGTGGAAATCTGAAGCTTACTTTCATGTTCTTCATGAACATGAACTTTCATGAACTTCGGGCTTGCAATTGATTTTTAGCCTCCATTTGTTCCGTAATAGGCATGGATAGATGATAGGTGTTGACGGAAGACACTTGTACAAAGAGGAAATGTATAACCCGCCTATCGAAATTGAGCGGCTGTATGTTAGGCTATCCAAGAGACAAAGTGCTTTTCTTCTAAGGCTGTACAGGATATGCACACCTAAACTCTCATGTGAACGGCAGGCTTTTTAAGGGAACCCGAAAGCTTTCTGGGTGTACAATTTTGTTTAGTGCTTCTCACCTTTTCAGCATAGCCTGACTTGTTTTACAGGAAGAAATCTGCATTGAAAATTCAAAAAGCTTTACAGTGCTAACAGCCTATAACCAGGATATAAAGTAGAAAATTCACACGAAGAGGAACATTTCCATTTATGCATTCATCAGTCAAGCGGCCAGTCAAAACGCGGTTAAGATTTCGTGAGTGAAGGATCAATGTCACTATGTTCTGTCTAGGATGAGCCACTCGTGGCCGAACGTTTAAGTGTTTGAAATGTTGCGAGTTCGAAGACCCCTGGGATGAGAAGCATGAAGTTCACTGCTGTTGATGAAACATACATAATGCTTTTTGTCTTTTCAACACAGAATATCTCCTCTTACAGGACAAACTCTCAACTGAAAATCCCGGCATCTTCTCACACTCCCAAAAATCCTTATTAGATCGCCAGAAATAAATCGGAAGCAAATGCCTAAAGTGGGACGATTATAAAGATATCAGCTTGAAAGCTGAGGAATTCAAAGGGCTTTATCAAACAGCTTAATGGCATCATACATTGAAGAAGAATTTATGTTCTTCCCAATTGTTCGGTTTTATTGAGCTATCTCTTACTACTCAGCAATCTTTCAAATGACGATTTACAAAAATGAAACCTGGACCTTATGTAATGAGGTTAATACAGTATAAATATAACGCCATTAGGCTAACTTCAACGACCATCAAACGTTTTTCGACTAACCGCGATGAATCCCACCTGATAATAAGGACCATGGTTAGCGGCATTTTCAAACAATGACGTTTTAAGATCCTTCTGCTCACAAAACTCGAGTGGGAAAAATGAAGGTCGAGCTGAAAGTGCGATTTCGAAAAAGTGTAAAAAGCAGTCGGTCGATTGACTGACTAACTAATTTTGTTTCTCTCCATAATAGCAATGTTACGGAGTCAGTGGAGTTAGGAACAGAGCGAGAAACCAACCCTGTTCTTTTTACGTACGTTTAGAACCAGAAAATTCGGAGGGGTTAGAGTCAAAATTTGGTTCCAAATTTTCCTGCCCAGGTTTGCTTTTGATCCTGATAACCGCACATCACCAGTTGTCAGTTCTTCTCTGCACATGCTTGCCAGCTCTGCCCCTGCATTTTTACACTTGTCTGTGCAATTACATATAATTTCTACGTCCTCAGCCATCAGTCGTCGTGGTGTAAATCATGGTCCCTAAGTGAATTTATATTAGTTTGTTTTATTCGGATAGACGGAAGCTTCCGTTAAAATATTTCCATTTCTGTCAAATAACAAGTTTAATTGTTTACCTACGAGGTCTACATCGAGGTAAAATTGGTTCTAGATGAACGCATCTTGCCGTCGGACAGGAATTGAATGACCCGTTTCTCTGCTGATGTACACCCGTCTGTGTTGAAAACTTTAGCGTTAACGCTATCCGCAGTTATTTTATTTTTCGCATACTCCATGCTGCACCAAAGCTTAGATTTTTATTTTTGTGTTTTGTTGATGTACCTGACAATTTATGGCTAAGATAAATTCTGACACGCCATTTGCTTGACAGCGTGCGACGTTTACGTTTTCGCCGCACAAGCATGCCATAGTTGTATAGCCTAGAAATCAATTCTGCAGATTCAGTAATATTTTTCGTAAATCCCTTTTTGAAATTATACGATAATGTCAGCTGCATAGTGGCCCTTATTGGAATGGCGAATTTTGGGAAGGGAAATCGACTCGCCCTGAGGGTTGGAGCCCAATCAAACCGTCTCAGGTCTCGAAAATACATTTAGAATGAAGTCTGTAGGTGTAATGCAACACAGCGTTTTCAAAATGACCCTATATGAGTAGTGAGGAACTTTTGTCTCACCTAGGTATTTTGGTTTGATGATAGTGTACGAAAATCCTGAGGTTTCTTTAAATTTATTCCTGTAGGTGAGGTTGATAAACCGAGACGTATTGTACAGCTATGCAATGCTCATTAGAAATCGCAACTCTGACTGACTTACCTCGCGGGACGAAACCTCGATTGAAAAATTTAGCAGTCCCATACTACTGAAAAATTACAGGTAGTTTGGAAGGAAGAACAATCCACACGTCAAGTGAACCATCTGACGAAATAAGCCAATTGATGGGTTAGCCAAAACATGATCACATGTGATCCACGTAAATGAAAGATGAGTGGAGCAATTTCTTGTCCGGGTGTGGATTAATCATATTTTCGAAGAACCGCTCATAGCTGAACTTTACGGTCTTCAACTATTGCTTGAGAGATCACGAGTTCGGGTTTCCCGAGGAAGTAGTGGGGTGAACACTGATGATCAATCCTGATAAGGGTGAAACATCCGTACAGGGTTTTTAGGTTGTCCAGCGTGGATTAGCTTTCCTTGCAAGATCAAATCCATTGAGATAGGTTTGACTCAAAAGTATGCTGGAATCAACAGCGGCAATTCTACAAGAAAAATTAACATTTGACAGCCCTAAATTTTTGTAACTCTCCCTCATATCAGGCTCACCGTCAACTTTTCCTAATGTTAGAGCCGTCTCGACACTTGGCAGCCGGACAGAAATGATGAAAAATCTGAAGA